CGATCCAAGTCGAGGTCGAAGCCTGTTGTTAAAGCCAGATCTATTGCATTTTATCATTTGGTTAAATCGAACCCGATCCAAGATTGAGGTCGAAGCCTGTGTCAAGCCAGGTCCATCGCACTTATCATGTCAATTAAATCAAACTCGATCCAAGATCGAGGTTAAGGCTTGTATCAAGTACGAGGTTCTTTGCATGTCGGGATCCCGCCTAGTGTCCAGTTGGGTCCATCTCTATCTTGTCTTGTCTGAATAAAATTTTCGTCTTCCCAAATACTTTGTCTTTTGCCTTTGTCTACCCTTTTAGTTCTACAAGGATACACAAAGGGGGGCAAGCTGCAGACACCGTATTTGGTCCGGCTTTATTTTAGTTTTAGTTTTAATTATTTAATTTTATTTTATTAAATACTATAGAATTACTTTATTATTGGTTATAAGCTAAAGTTTAAATTAAATTAAAAAAAAATAAATTTTCTTTTAAAGAATTTGATTTAATATTAAAATAAAAGAAATAAAAAGATTTGATTTTATTTATAAATCTTGTTTTAAATAAATTTAGATTCTGTTTTGGTTAAAAATAAACATTTTGTTTTTCCTCCCGTTTTTCCTTCGTCAAAATCGAACGTTTTCCCTTCCCTCTTTTTCTCTGGTTTTTCTTGACTCATGCATGTTACTGTTATTTTTTTGGTATATTTAAAGGACACACAACACAGGAGGGGAGAAAAAACAGAGAGCACACAGAAGAATGATTTGGGTAAAGAAAATTTTTTATTTTTTATTTTTTATTTTTTCCCTTAGTCTCTGAAAGCGGTTCAATAGAACCAACACACAACATGACTCTGGTGCACACGACCTCCATTGCTGCCTTGAGACCATCCTCCGGTGATTGACCGACGACGACCAAGAGTCCAGCGACCCACTCTAACACGACGAACGACATCCATGGTAAAAATCTTTGCCCAGTATACCCCTACATTTCTTTTAATAATAAAAAAAATTTATTTTTAACAAAAAAATAAAAATTTTCTTTTTAAAGAAAATAAACTTTTTAAAATAAGTTTTGAAAAATAATGTAGATAATTTTTTTTAAAGTAAAATAAAATAACTTTTAAATAAAGTAACAAAAAGTTAATTTCATTCAAATAAAAGATTTTGCATTAAAGTTTTGTAAGTTAAAAATAATAATAATAAKAGTTTTATAAACTAAATCTTTTAAAAATAAATTGGATTCTTTAAAATTTTCATTCAAAAGTTCTTAATAGAAAATTGTTTTCTAGGATTTGCTTTAATCTTGTAACATTTGTAATTTAAAATAAGTTGTTAGGAGAATGAAATCTTTTTTTAAATGATGATTATCATTTTAGAAAATATCTTAACAATTTGTTTTAAGTAAAATTTAATTTTTTTTAATTAGAAATAAAAGATTTTCTTGAAAAAAATCTTTTTAATGTCAAAATACATAAAAAAAATTAATTTTTTTTTAAATTCAACAAAATTCGTTTTTTTTAGTTTAAAAATTAAATTAGAACTTTTGTTTTTGTAAAAGAGTACAATGAGTGTTGACATAGTAGTAAGATGTTTGGTTTTTAATATACAGTCTTTGCATGCCTCTTTTTATTGTTTTTACTAAACAATTATTTTAAATAAAAGATTTCGTTTAGAGTTTTTTCCTTTTTTTTAAACAAAATTTAAAAATACAAAGTTTGTATTTTCAAAAAGAACATAGATTACATCCTAAAGTGGTGGCACCTTGGTGAGATGTTTAAATGATAACGCTTAAATCACGAGATCAAGTCTCAATGTGCCTTAAAATAATTTTTTTTTGTTAGTATTTTTTTTTACTAAATAATTATTTTGAAAACTCCAATGACGGGAATTGGAACCCTCCAATTTACTCGAGGTGCTTAATTTTTCTAATGGCCTCCGTGTCACTCATACATATTAATTCATATCTTATAACAAGGTGTGAATTAATATAACATGAGACATTTCGATCAAAACAAAAATATTTTTTTTCTTGGACCAAATAAAATAATAGGATAATTTATGATAGAATGTGGTACCGTTTTCGAACCGGTGTTGTAGGGTGCTAACACCTTCCCTACGATCAGTCGACTCCCGAACCAACAATCTTTTTTCGCAGACCTTGTCTTTATTTTTAGGTGACCAATCACACCTCGTACATGATTGGTAGCGACTCCAAACCCTTATCTCGAAAGAGACCCTTCAGGGGAATTACGTCGGCCGCTCCGCGTCGCGATGACGTTGCGACATCATGTATCCATGTGCAAAGATGACGAGGATAACAATTTTTCACGTGAGCCAAAGATTAAAAAAAAAATATTGCAAAACACTCAAAAAAATTATGACAATCTACTAAAATAACTAAAAAGTACTGAGCCCAAGAATAAAGAAAAATAGAAAGTATAAAACTTTCAAGATAGCCACTCTAATCAAGGGACAAAACAGCAATTTCATTTTGAGATGATACCATCCTAAGCTTACAATTTAAAATGGGGGAAAATTTTGTAAAATAATACATACAATTGCGTAACGTTTAAAATATAAAAATAACCCGTATGACAATTTAAGAAAATTTATAGCTTACTCTTTGTTCTCGAGTTTTAAGCAAAAATAAAATTAAAAAAAAAAAGCTCCTACCGTCAAATTTTCATCAATTACCAATGACATAAAGTCGTTTGGATACCAATACCATAACATTTCTACAACAATAACAATTTTTGTTTATTGCTTATGGTAATTTTATAAATTACATAAAAAGTTTTAATTAAATAAACAATAAACCCACCAAAAATTACTCAAACAGAAACTCCCAAAATACCTCAGATTCTCCTTTCGAAAATACCCCGTAAAGGGACGCACTGCCAATGGACCAACATTTCCTTTTTGGTCCACCAGAGCCAGCCAATATAGGGTCCTGGTTCAATTTGATGTTAAAGAAAAAGTTGAATTCCAAGATTGTGATGCAAAATGACAATAGTTACAACAAGAAACATCTTATCGATGAATGTTCAAGAAATTTTCACCTGCATTTTCTGGCTGTATGTATGTCGTCTATCCAAATGCACTTCTCAGTACATTGGAATTTAGAGAGTTCCAAATGCCCACAACAATGCCACTCGCCAAAGCCTGCTGCGCTTGTTTTGCGGCCATTCGGTGTGCTTCCAAAATTTTGTCATCTTTAAAGAGGTTTCTGAGAGCCTCTTCAAGGTCTAGTTTTCCATGAACCTGAATCAGTTGAACATAAAATTGATAATAAAGGCCAGTCAGAAAGGATCAAGTAAGAAAGTTCAGAATTATTAAGATACAGTGTTTTATTACTTTTTACAATATGTCAAGAGACTAGTTCAATATTAAAATAACTATTAGCAGTATGTTCGATGAGGTTTACTGTTAAATTGCTTTGGAGATCTGTTGTTACAGCTTGCATTATAGGTTACTTAGCATTGTTTTAAAATATGAAAGAATGGCATTTCATTAAACCAATGAAATATACAAAATAGGGAGAGGACAGTCTCAAACCGAGGCAAAAGGAAGTTATCAAAAGACCTTTCCGATTATCTCAAATACTAGAAATAGAGGATTGCTCATCTTGCACCTAGAGTTAGCTAATAAAAACTATCTAGAACAGAGAGTTGTTCCTTTTCTTTTTCCAAAGCAAAAAAGAAAATAATAATAATTCTGATATATATGTGTGTGTATATATTTTTTAATTTCAAGCGATCTAATGAAAGAGCACCATTTTTGAAACTCAGCATCCTTAATTTCTTCTAAATTTTGGATTTTGATAGGATGATAAGCATTCCAAAATCAGGCCCATGGCTGGAACTTATCAGTTGAGAGAACATAAAATTGGGAAAGAGGCTGAAGAAAGAATATTGGCCTATCCAACTATCTTTCCAGAACTAAAACTATACCGAGTGAAAACTATATTAGGAGCAAGCATATACATGGTAGACTTAATGGAGAATGATAGAAAATTTCACATGAACCGTCCATCCATATGAACCCATCAAACCAGCAGAACTGACATTAAAAATCAAATTAACTGGCATGACTTCACCTATGCATGATATAAAGGACATATCAAGATCTTAAGTTAAAATTCTGATGGTAAATACTTGGATTAATAAGAGATGTCATGAGGTAGATAGCCAAACTTGAAATATTCCAATGACTCAACGTTAAGGGTCCAGATAAAAAGTGTCCACAATCTTAATCCAAGTCAGAGCGCTAAATTCCAAAGAAACAAGGAAATGTAAAGGGGGAAAAGATTTTCTGGGGGAAAAGATTTTCTGTTCACCTGCAAAACTGACATTCGATTAAACTGCTGCATTTTAACCACCATGCTTGAGAAATGGCCAATATGTGGACCTGGAAACGGAAAAAGAAATCAGTCCCTGAGTATAAGAGGTTGAAGAAGCTAAAGGATGATGAGTACAAGAAGTCATAAAGGCTACGGCAGCAAATACTCGCCGGTCAAAACAGCACAGCCAGCTGCAGCAGCTTCTGATATGTTATGACCAGCAAGGCCAGGCAAGAAGGATCCTCCAACCACAGCAATGGGAGTTATCCCATATAAATATCTTAGTTCACCTAAAGAGCACGTGGAAATCACATTCAGCAGATTTATCCAAAAGTAAGTAAAACATACAGCCTAAGTTTTGAATTTAACCATTCAAGAAAAGAAAGAATATTTTCCTATGGCCCACAAAATAAGACAGTAATCAAATGATAAGTGTTAACTGCAGCATGTCGTTGATGTCAAAGTTACTCTGAAATGCACAGTTACAGATTTACAAGCATTCTACCACCATTGTAGTCCATCAACCTCACAAACTATAGCATCCAGAGGTAGAGTGTGACAACTCAAGCCTTAAACAGAAGAGATTTTCTAGGAACCAAATTATTGATCATACCTCTGATCTCTTTCCCTTCTGGTATCCCCACTACTTTTTCTTTGTATTGCAAAGCCTTCCATCTTCATGTTTTACCATTTAAGCATCTAATTACCTTATGTACCTTTTCTATACTTCTCTTTTTGATGGAAAAGACCTTACTACTTACCAAAACATAAAAATATTTTTCAAATAATTGAGAGTCTCTCATTAGCTAACCAGAGGTTTTTCCCTCCAAAGTTATGGCCATGCCATTTCGTAAATAGATAATAACACAATGAAAAAAACCTATAGACTATATCTTTATATATCTAATATCTGTAGAAGCTTATTAGTTATTTCCACAAAAGGAGGATGAATACAAGCAGAAAGTTGAATGAAACACCAAAAGATATAGACATTTCATACCTAGTGTATCTACAACATATATATTAGCTCCTGATGTAATGTTTCCACCTTGAGACCTCAAAACTACATTTTGCCCTTCTTTCTGCATCGCCTGTGCTAATTAAAATGGAAATACAAAAATTAAACATGGAGCAAATCATTGCAAGATAGCTACACATGTCAAAAATCATACTTACAAAGAAAACTAACAAGTACAGGTCTATATCTATACAGCAGCTGAACATATAATGATCATTAATAGATAT